CATCAGCTGCCTGGCTGCCGGCCGCCATCTTGGTTGGCAGTTAATTTGCATATCTCCCTGATTAGCCAATGGGAAGGGTAGCGGAGGTATGGCTAATTACCATGTTTCTCTTTTATTAGATAGGACTAGAGGCCTGTTGCATGAAGAGATTCGTGCAATAGGCCTTCCTTTCCCCTGGCTGCTGGCACTGGTTTGCCTCTGGCACCCGGGGCCCAGGCCTTCCCTCTGGCCGAGTTCTGGCTGGAGCCGGCCCCGGAATGTCAGGCCTCGCTGCTCCACTGGCCCCGGAGCCGTGAGGCCTCGCTGCTCCGCCGGCCCCAGAAACGTCAGGCCTCGCTGCTCTGCCAGCCCTGGGCCATCAGGCTTCGCTCCACCGCTTGGAGCCTACGTATGCAAATTAACCACCATCTTTGTTGGTGGTTAATTTGCATATTGCACTGATTCGCCAATGGGAGGTGTAGCGAAGGTATGGTCAATTACCATGTTTGTCTGTTATTAGATAGGATAGTGCAGTATCACAACTGTGCAATCCATGGGTCTTATTCTGACTTCCCCAGTTTTATATCTACTCATCTGGGGTGTGTGTGTGTGTGTGTGTGTGTGTGTGTGTGTATTTCATTCTATATAATTTTATCACATGTTTAGGTTAGACAGTCAAGATACAGAATTCCATTGCACTTTTTGCTTTTAGGACATCTTGTGTTTTCTTTTTGTAACCACACCAATCTTCCTCCTGCCTCTTATGCTCCCTTCCCCCTCCAGTCTCTAAATCTTGGCAACTACTAATCTGTTCTCCAATTTCTAAAACTTTGTAATTTCCAAAATGTTTTCTGAATTGCATCATACAGTATATAAAGTTTTGGGATTGGCTTTTTTCCACTTGGTGAAATTCATCCAAGTGTTGCAGCATGTCGAGAGTTTATTCTTTTTTATGGCTGAGTAGTATTCCATGGTGTGGGTGTACCACAGTCTTTTTACCCATTCACCCATTGACCAAAAGCTGGGTTGTTTCCAGGTTTTGGGTATTCTGAATAAAGCTGCTTTGAACATTTGTAGACAGGTTTTTATGAGCATAAGTTTTTACTTTTGTAGGATAAATGCCCAGCGGTACAATTGCTGGGTTATACGGTACCTATATGCTTAGTTCTGTAAGAAACTGCCAAACTATTTTTGAGAGTGGTTGTTCCATTTTGCATTCCTACCAGCAATATTTGATTGGTCTGTTATCTCCACATCGTTGGCAGCATTGGGTGTTGTTAGTATTTTTTATTTTGTCTGTTCTGGTAGATGTGCAGTGATACCTCATTATATTTATATCTTATTATTATTTTAATTTGCATTTCTCTAATGGCTGATAATGTTGAACATCTTTTCATATGCTTATTTGCCATCTGTATATCCTCTTAGGTGAAATGATTGTCATGTCTTTTGACTATTTTCTTTTTTTTTATTAGCATAGTAATAGAAACTTCAAAAGGAAAGTTAATCACAGTAGATCCTAATCCTTAAAATAGAAAGCAGAAGTAAGAAGAGGATGCTATTTACAACCACAGTCTTCTGTATCTCTGAACAGTACAGAAAGATTCCAAGAGAAAGATTAAGATGGCTGACTGTTGATTATATTCTAATTGGGTTATTTTTTACTGTTGAGTTAAAATTAAAAAAAAACTTTAAACCTTTATTGAAGTATAATTCAGATACCATATAGTTCACAGTGGTATGTGGATTGTATCTAAATAAAGTGTACAGTTCAGTTGAATATTCACGGAATTATGCAACTATCACCACTATCTAACTCCAGAACATTCCCATCAGCCCCAAAGAAAGTCCACATTCATTAGCAATCACTCTCCATCACCACTCTCTTACCTCCTGGTAACCACCAATCGACTTTCTGTCTCTATGGGTTTCCTGGTCTGGACATTTCATATAAACGGAATCATGACATGCGGCCTTTTGTGTCTGGCGTCTGTCACTTAGCATAATGTTTTCGAGATTCATCCATGTTGTAGCATGAGTCAGCACTTTACGCCTTTTTATGGCTGAAGGATATTCCATTGTATGGACGTACCACATGTTGTTTATTCATTTGTCAGCTGATGGGCATTTCAGCTGTTTCCATTTTGGGGCTTTTATGAAGAATGCTGCTATTAACGTTCCAAGTTTTTGTGTGGACTTGTGTTTTTATGTCTCTTCGATATATTCTTAGGAGTGGAATTGTGGGTCTTATGATAACGCTCTGTTCAGCCTTTTGAGGAACTGCCAGACTTTCCAAAGTGACAGCGCCATTTATATTCCCCCAGCAGCGTATGTGGATTCTGATCTTTCTACATCCTCACCAACACTTGCCTTTCTTTTCTTTTTTTAAAAAAAATATATTTTATTGATTTTTTACAGAGAGGAAGGGAGAGGGATAGAGAGTTAGAAACATCGATGAGAGAGAAACATCGATCAGCTGCCTCCTGCACACCCCCCACTGGGGATGTGCCCGCAACCAAGGCACATGCCCTTGACAGAATCGAACCTGGGACCCCTCAGTCCGCAGGCTGACGCTCTATCCACTGAGCCAAACCAGTCAGGGCATGCCTTTCTTTTTGATCCTAGCCATCAGTGCGTGTAAAGTGGTATCTTCTTGTGGTTTTGGTTGCTATTGAGTTTTAAGAGTTCTTTGTATATTCTAGGTAGGAGTCCTTGGTCAGAAGTCCAGCTATCAGTTTTCACTTACGGATTGGTTTTTGGCACCCTGTCTAAGAGCTCTTTGCTTCAGCTTTGTTTTTTGGTGTATGGGAGGACGCTCGATTAACGGAGCCCCACCAGCCAGGGCTTTTTAGCTTTGCTTTTTGTACTGACCAGCAGCTTGTGTTTGAAGAGAAAGTCCTCATTAACCAGCCCCCCACATCCAGGTCTGTGAGTGAGCCCCAGTCCTTCCTCCAGGCAAGGACAGAGCCACTGGGTGGCGATTGTGGTGGGGGACGGGGACAAAGAGAGAAAGGGACCAGTAACTGGACAACCACGTTCCTTCCTTTGGCACCAGGAAGGCTCTTTCTAACCCCTGCCCCTGGCCTGTTTGTCTTCCAGACCCTGGAGGAGGAGCTGTTTGGGAACAACGAGGAGAGCCCAGCTTTCAGGGAGTTCTTGGACCTGCTGGGGGACACCATCACCCTGCAGGACTTCAAAGGGTAGGTGCTAGCCACGTGATGGCTCCAGCCCCACGGATGAGGACTTGGAGGAAGGGCAAGGGGCGACAGCTGAGTTTCAGGGAGGGCATGTGAGACTTAAAAACATACACAAGAGCCCAGCTGGTGTGGCTCAGCGGTTGAGCATCGACCTATGAACCGGGAGGTCACAGTTTGATTCCCGGTCAGGGTGCATGCCCGGATTGCGGGCTTGATTCAGGAGGCAGCCGATCAATGATTCTCTCTTATCATTGATGTTTCTATCTCTCCCTCTCTCTTGCTCTCTGAAATCAATAAAAATATATAACTCCCCCCCCCCCCCCCCCGGAAACAGG